TATATATATATATATATATATATATATATCACTGTGAAAAGGCACCACATTGGGGATTTACCTATGAAAAGGAGATATAAACACTTAAATATAATACAAAATATACTCAAAATTGTAGCAAATAATATCATTTATAAAATTGCAGCAAATAATTATGTAGGTTAGAAATCATCACCAGTTTCAGATGAGAAAATTGAGGCTTTGAAGAATTAGTAAAGTGCTTAAAGACATATAATGTATAATGAGCAGCAGTCAGTGTGTTAAGTTCCAATGTCTATGCTTTTCAACTGTACTTGATGTAGTATAAATTCCTGCCATGGAATCTCCATTATAATATTGTGCAGCACTACTCTAATAACTTTATCATATATTGCAAGTTAACTGATGTATGAATTAGATAATATTATTCTCACCAGACTAATATTTATTTAAATATATCTACTTTTTTTTTTTCTTTTCTTTTGGAAGGGAGTAGGATGAAGGGGGAAGATTTTGAAACTTGGATAATTTTCATTAAATCTTCAGGGTCAGAGTCTATTTTCTTTTTGAAAAAAAAAAAAAGAGCTTTGGGTCTCCGAAATTCTAGGAAGCCATAACATTTAAATTCTTTCTAGGAAAATATAAATCATAGAGGCCACCACCCAGATTTTACTCCAAAAAGTGTGGCTCATGGACGTTGTACAACAAGCCAGACACTATGCCTGGAAGGACATTATACAGGAATTACAAAACTTTAAGCTTCATTACTCACTAGCTAGGTTACTTAAGGCAGGTTACTTAAGCTTTATGAACATCATTTTTCCTACCTATAAAATGCAAATATTACTTTTCAGGGTTGTTATAAAACTTAACTTTGATAAATGTGACATGATACTTTATAAGCAAAATACCCATTTCATCAAACCACTTACTATAGCAATTCAGAAGCATAATTTACATGTACATAATTTACATGTACTTTATTAACATATCTTCCTATATATTTGTTAAGTTATTCTGGGGCAATATTTTCATAGCGTGGCACAAGTTATATAGATCTGAAAGTTTTAAACTATTTTCAAAATCATTTTCTAAATTGAAACTTTAATTTGTGGGAACTAGATTTCTTCCCTTTGGTCCACGTATATATTATAATTGGTATAATATCTATGATTTTCACTGAAGACAACAAGCACATTTTAAAACACTTTTACCAAGATTTTCCTCCAAAGAGGAGAAAGAGCTGCTAATTTAAGTATATAAAGAAAAACAATTAACATTTAGATTCACATTCTAGATATTCTTCTGGTTGTGATTTTGAACAAGTGTTAGGCAGCAAGGCTACCAAGTTCTCTGTCCTCACAGCCTGTCTCAATTAAATACATGGGAACAGCATGGAAAGACATATTTTCTCTTTTGTATTAGCTGATTTTATAGTTTACCACCTACCACTTGCTTCCTAACTAAGTTTTTAAAGTACTTTGCATTATATCTAGAATGAGTGTATAGATTATCATTCAAAACAAGACACTGTTGAAAATGAAATAATATTTTGATAATTAACTTGGGAAGACAGGCATGAAATACTGGACTTTCCATTTACATAAGCTATGACTGCTCGATTTTTAGCCTTATTTCCCTAAATTTTGATAACAAAATATACAGAAAGATGAAACTCTGACATATACTTGTTGGTATCCTTAAAAACCAACAATGGGAAATGTTAAACTGAATGAAATTGTTAACTTTCTTGTTTGCAGTGAGTTATTAAACATACAAAGCAACTATTGAAAAAGTTCACTAAAACGAAGATCTGTGCTATTCAATGTATGGCCACTGAGCACTTGAAATGCAGCTAGGAAGGAACAGAAAATTTAATTTCATTTAAATTTATTCTAATTTAAAAATTAGTAAACTATTTTGTTAAACACAAATGCATTGCTTTGGTAGGACTACATTTACTTGAACTATTATACTGTATGTTATCATAAGTTTTTTTGTTTTAATTAGTTAGACATGACAGTACAATGATCTTGACATATTATACATTTGAATCACATGGGGTATAATTTCTCATTTTTCTGAGTGTACAGGTTGCAGAATCACATTGGTCATGCAGTCACGTATATACATACAGCAGTAATAAAGTCTATTTTATTCTGCTGCCCTTCCTTTCCCCCCTTCCCCTCCCCTTCCCTCCCACCACTTCTCTCTACCCAATCTAATGTGACACACTTCTTTTTTTTCCCTCACATTGTCATACATGTATTCTGTCTAATGATGAGGGTCTCCTTCCATCTTCCATGCAATTCCCTTTCTCCCTCCTTTTCCCTCCCACCTCTCTTCCCTATTTAGTGGTAATCTTCTTCTCATGCTCTTCCTCCCTATCCCATTTTGAATCACCCCCCTTATATCAGAAAAGACATTTGGCATTTGTTTTTTAGGGATTGGCTAACTTCACTTAGCATAATCTGCTGTAGTGCCATCCATTTCCCTGCAAATGCCATGATCTTGTTATTTTTTAGTGCTGAGTAATAGTCCATTGTGTATAAATGCCAAAGATATGGAACGCTTCATGAATTTGCGTGTCATCCTTGAGCAGGGGCCATGCTAATCTTCACTGTATTGTTCCAATTTTAGTATATGTGCTGCCGAATCGAGCACATCATTAGGTTTTATTGTGTTATTATAGCACATATATAGGGCACATTGTCTTTTCCAATATTATATGTAAATACATCACCAATGTACCCAGCATCAGTAAATATTTTCAGTTTGAATGATTTTTTTTCTATTTACAGATGTAACATTATGTGTTTGTATATTTTATGCAGATAGCATGGATTAGATTACAACCTATGTAAATCTGGCTGATTTAAATTAAAATATTAAATTAAATTAAAATATTTATCAATATTTTAACTAATTACCTTTTTTAGTTTATCAATAAGCTAAAATTAGGCACATTACAAATACAAAATTGAGAGTAGACACAGAAGCTTGTATTACAACCAGATTAGTAAAAAATAAATAAATAAATAAAAATGAAACAGATTGGGAAAGACATTTCAGCTTTCAAAATAAATGACTATTTACCTATTCTTCCATCAATGGGCATGTGAGGTGGTTCTTCCTTTTGACTATCATGAATGATATTGCCATGAACATGGTTATACAAATAACTGAGTTCCCTGTTTTCAAGTCTTTTGAGTATTCACTTGTTTTAGTCAGCATTTTTGCTGTTGTGACTAAAAAGACCTGATGAGAACAACTGTAGAGGAGGAAGAGTTTATTTGAGGGCTCACGGATTCAGAGGTCTCAGTCCACAGACAGTTGGCTCCATTCCTCAGGGCTTAGGTAGGCAGGGCATCATGACAGAAGAGTGTGGCAGAGGGAAGCAGTTTACATGATGATCGAAAAGTAGAGACACCCCATTTGCCAGATAGAAAATACATACCCCAAAGCCATGTCTCTAATGCCCCAGCTCCTCTAGCCACACCCCACCTGCCTTCATTACCACTCAATTAATCCTATTAGGTAATTAATTCACTGGTTGGGTTAAGGCTCTGGTGACCCAATCATTTCTCTGTATCTTCTTGCATTGTCTCACATGTAAGATTTTAGGGGACACCTCACATCTAAACCATAACAACATTTAAATATGGAATTGATGGGTTATACTATTAATTTTATCTTTAATTTTTTAAGAAAATGTTCTACTGTTTTCCACAGTAGCTGTATCTTACTACTTTCTAGCCAACCATAGACAAATATTTCAATTTTCCCACATCCTCACTGACACTTGTTATTTTCTGGGTTTTGTTGTTTTAATGGTCATACTAATGAATATGAAGTGGGGATTTCATTGAGTTTTTGTCTTACATTTTTCTAATAACTAGTGATGTTTAATACTTTTTCTTGTGCTTATATTTGTACCTTCTTTGGGGAAAATACCTATTCAAGATTTCTCTCTAGTTGAGTTGTTTGTATTTTGTTCTTGACTCAGGAGTTCCTTGAATATTCTATACATCAATCCCATATTAGGTATATAATTGCAAGTGTATTCTCCCATTCCATAGATTGCCTTTTCATTCTGTTGATAATTTTCTTTAATGCATAAATTTTAAAAATTTTGATGAAGTCCAGCTTATCTATATTTTTGTTATTGTTGTTTGTACTTTTGGTGTCATAGAAGAAATTATTGCCAGATGAAATGACATAAAGCTTTCCCCCTGTTTTCCTCTAAGAATTTTATAACTTTAGTTCTTAGATTTCAGTCTTTAATCTACTTTGGTTAAATTGTAGGACATAGTGTAAGGCGAACACCTTCATTGTTTTACATGTGGACATCCAGGTTTCCTAGAATCATACCATACATCTAAAACACTGTCTTTTCCTCCATTGAATGATGTTGGCACCCTTGTCAAAAATCATTTGCTTATATATTCAAGGGTTTATTTCTGGGCTTTCTAGTTTATTCCATTGGTCTATATGTCTTCTTTATGCCAGTAGCACACTGTTTTGATTACTGTTGTTTGTTTACAAAAATAGAATATAAAATATCCCATTAATTTTTCTAATGATTGAGTAATATGAAGAAATTAAAACAAGTTAATGACATAGTCATTATAATGGTGGCTATTTTAGGTCAAGTGGGTAGAGAAAACCTCTTTTAGGTGACTTCTAAACTGAACTTAAGTGACAAGAGGGTGACAGCCTTGAAAATATCAGGAAAAGCACAAAAGTTCAGGAGAAAGGTAAAGGCAACTAGGAAGAGTAAATATCAGAGCAAGCAACTGTCCCAGCTATTTTGCAATTCTAACATTCTTTAGAGGACCTATTCATTCCTGGAAATATGCACTATTGCCAGTCACCAACCATGAACCCACTACCCTATATCTATAACTCTAGGCCAAGATGTACCTATTCTGGAAGTTGGGTGTAATAAGAACTCATAAGCCACCAAGTCTATACCTGTGCTATGGCCACAACAAACCCAAATTCTGGTTAACTGATTTAAAAGAGCATGCTGTTAAGAAGAAAGAAAATAAGACTGAAGGATTAATACAAATTTCAAACGGGAGTCAAAAAAGAATGCTTTGTACTCAGAGACCAGCATAAACACGGTTTTTCACAGCCACAGATAAGTGGAAAATCTGAAGATTTATTCAGGAAACAGAGAATAATTCAGTTTAGCAATAGCACAGGACATATGAAGATACCAAGATAAGATATAAACATGGTTCGGAAAATATTACTGAATATTTTTTATGCTGATTTAATGCAGTGGAACCTAATTCTGTATGAAATTAAGAGGACAATAGTGAATGATCTAGAGGGTGGGTGTAGAACAGAGTTTGGGAATTAAGAAGGCAAAGCTACTGTAAATATTTGGGTAAAAATTAATGATTTATTGAGCTCAAGTAATAAATTAATTTGTTGGAAATTACTTTTCAAAATGCTAAATGTCCTCAGTTGGCAAGAGAATGGTGAAAATAATGTTCCCATGCACTTCAACACATTGCTGGTGGAAGTGTATTTGGACAACTTTTCTGTTGTATAATTTGATGGGATTGGATTAAAGATAATGGAGGAATGGCCAGAAAGTTCCAAAGAATGACAGATTTTAAGGATGAAAGATACTATGGAAGATGCTACAGAATCCTGGTTGACCAATATGACCAATGAATAGAAAAGAGGAATCAAGAGATGATGGAAAAGACCAGCACAGCAACTAACAAAGAAAAGCCAGGGGCCAGATAGATTCTCAGTGGAGGTCTACCAGACCTTTAAAGAAGAACTAACACCAATCCTTCTTAAAGTATTCCATAAAATAGAAAAGTAGGAAACCCTTCAAAACTCATTCTATGAAGCTAGTATTACCCTGATACTAAAACCAAACAGTCACATCAAGGAAAGAAAACTTCGAACCAATGTCTTTGATGAACATAGATGCAAAAATCCTCAATAAATTACTGGCAAATTGCATACAAAAACACATTAAAAAGATAGTACACCATGATCAAGTAGGTTTCATTCCAGAGATGCAAGGCTGGTTGACATACAGAAATCAATAAAAGGAAATTCAGCACACAAATAGACTTGAAGACATGAATCACATGTTTATCTCAATAGATGCAGAAAAAGTATTAGATAAAATACAGCATCCATTTGTGTTTAAGCACTAGGAAAAATAGGTATTGTAGGTACATACCTCAACATTGTAAAAGCTACATACATTAAACCCAAGGCCAACATCATGGAGAAAAACTGAAAGCATTCCCTCTAAAAACTGGAACAAGATAGAGATGCCCTCTTTTATCACTTCTATTCAACATAGTCTTTGAAACACTTGCCAGAGCAATTAGAAAAAAAAGAAAGAAACTAAAGAAATGTAAATAGGAGCTCAAACTATGGCTGTTTGCTGATGACAGGATCCTTTATTTAGAAGACCCAAAACACTGCACCATAGATAACGTCTAGAACTCATGAATAAATTCATCAAAGTAGCAGGATACAAAATTAATTCCATAAATCAATTCTGTTCCTATATACCAATGATGAATCATCTAAGAAAGAAATTAGGAAAACTATACCATTTACAATAACCTCAAAAAAACCCCACAAAAACCTTGGATATCAATCTAACAAAGACATGAAAGACCAACAATGAAAACTACAAAACACTAAAGAAAGAAACTGAAGAAGACTTTAAAAGGTGAAAAGATCTCCCAAGTTCTTAGATACACAGAAAAATAATATTGTCAAAATGGCCATACTACCAAAAGCACTATACAGATTTAATGCAATTCCTATTAAAATCCTAATGACATTCTTTATAGAAATAGAAGAAGTAATCATGAAATTCATTTGGAAAAATAAGAGACCAAGAATAGCCAAAGTGATCCTTAGTGGAAAAGGTGAAACAGGAGGCACCACAATTCCAGACTTCAAATTATACTACAGACAGAGCTATAGTAACAAAGCAACATGGTGTTGGTACCAAATCAGACATGAAGTCCAATGGAATAGAATAGAATTGTCTCGCACTAGATGAAGGTACCAAAAATGTACATTGGAGAAAAGACAGTCTCTTCAACAAATGGTGCTGGGAAAACTGGAAATCCATATGTAGTAGAATGAAATTGAACTTCTGTCTCTCACCCTGTACAAAACTCGACTCAAACTGGATCAAAGACTTAGGTATTAGTCTAGAAACCCTGCACCTACTAGAAAAAAATGTAGGCCCAACACTTCAACATATTGGCTTGGAAACAGCTTCCTTAACAAGACTCCTAAAGCTCAAGAAATATAATCAAGAATCAACAAATGGAATGGCATCAAACTAAAAGCTTCTTCACAGTAAAGGAAACAAGAGCATGAATAGAGAGCCTACAAAATGGGAGAAAATTTTTGCCAAGTGCATCTCAGAGCACTAATCTCAAGGTTATATAAAGAACTCAAAAAACTTAACACCAAAAATCAAATAACCCAATCAATAACCGGGCAAAGGAACTGAATAGGTAGTTCACAGAAGAAGAAATACAAATGGCCAAATGTATGAAAAAAAATGTTCAACATCTCGAGCAATTAAAAAAATGAACATTTGGGGCTGGGGATGTGGCTCAAGCGGTAGCGCGCTCGCCTGGCATGCATCCAGCCTGGGTTCAATCCTCAGTACCACATACAAAGATATTGTGTCCGCTGAAAAAACTAAAAAAAATAAATATTAAAAAAATTCTCTGTCTCTGTCTCTCTCTCTCTTAAAAAAATGAACATTAAAACTTTAATTTGCCCATCAACAGATAAAAAATTTGTGATATATACATATACATATATATACATACACAATGGAATATTACTCAAGCAAAAAGAAAAATGACTTTATAGCATTTGCCAGTAAATGGATAGATCTGGAGACTATCATGATAAGTGAAATAAGCTAATCCCCAGAAAATGTTTTCTCTAATACATGGAAGATAACCCATAATAATGGGGAAAGGGGAAGAATAGAAGTTCAGAGGATTGGACAAAGGGGAATGAAGGGAAGGGAGTGGGGATAGGCACAGGAAAGACAGTATAAAGAATGTGATATAACTGTCTTATGTACATATATGAATACATCACAGTGAATTCCATCATTGTGTACATTCACAAGACTGGGGCCCTATTAGAATAAAATATATTTCATGCTTGTACAAGTTTATCAAAATGGACTCTACTGTCATGTATAACTAAAAAGAACCAATATTTTTTTTAAAAGTAGGAGAGCAGATTCAAAGGATCATAAAGACCTGCCCTGGCAAACGACTGACATGCTGTGTAACCTTGGGCAAACTCCTTTAAACTTAGTGTATTTAACTTGTAAAATGGTAGTGACAGGGAGCAGTTAGAATAGACAACCTCAACTGTCCTTTCCAGTTAAACAATTTTGAGATTTTAAGGCATTTTATAATTGTGAATCTCATTATAAGCTTTTAATTACAGAATAATCTCTCAAAATAGGCTATAAGCAACTTTAAGGAAGTGGTTTATTATCTTATTCTTTCTAGCATATTAGTTTTGTATATTAATAAAATTATGATTACAAATATTTGGTCTTTATAGTACACTTGAAATTAATGGAAATACATGTGCCTCCTCTCCTTTATTGTGTATATGTATGTTTATATTATAAAGCCTGGCATGATACTATGTTTTTATAACCTTTTATTTTTCAGTATTATATATTAAGCAGTTTCCCATACAACCTTAAAAATTCAAAATCATGCTTTTATTGGATTTATACAGACATATAGGTAGCCATAATCTAATCAACCTTCCATTTATTTCATTTATTAATGTTGTTAATAACATTGCATCATATATATATATCCTAATGTACACCTATGCATTAGATAAATGTCTCATTTAATGAATACAATTTTTAGGGTTTTTTTTTGTTTTGTTTTTGTTTTTGTACTGAGGATTGAACCCAGGGGCATTTAACCACTGAGCTACAACCCCAACTTTTCTTATCTTTTGAGACAAGATCTTGCAAAGCTGCTTAGGGCCTCATTAAGTTGCTGGGTCTGGCTTTGAACTTGTGATCCCATTGTATCAGCCTCCTGAGTCACTGAGATTACAGAGTTTTGATACAGACACACCTTGGATATATTGTGGGTTATGTTTCATATAACTGCAATTAGATAAATATCACAAAAAAGCAAGTCATGAATATTTTTGGTTTCCTAGTGCATATAAAAATTATGTTTATACTACAGTTCAAGTGTACAATAATAGCATTATGTTTAAATAAAAGATATGGTTTAATTAAAAAAAAACCTTATTGCAGAAAAAGGCTAATTCTAAAGTTGGAAAAATGGTGCCAATAGACTTTGCTCAATGTATGATTAACACAAATCTTCAATTTATTAAAAAAAAAGAAAAAAGAAATAACAGCAAATTACAATAAAACAAGTATGCCTGTGCATTATCAAACTCTACTCCAGAAAATTCATCAATTATATTTTCATCAGTAATATATCAGTATATATTTTGCTCTCTTCTTGCCAAATGTAAACATTTAGCATTTTTTTAAAAAAAGGAACTCTAGCAAATAAAAAATCATTTTAATTTACTTTTGAATGTACAAAAGTTAAATGTGGGCTCTTTTATTTAAAAAAAATCAATAATTCTATTAATTTATGAACATTTTCTTTTTTATTGTTTATAAGACTATATAATAGGGATATTAAACTTTCGCCTTTCATGTATTAATACACATTTCATTATTTTGAATATAGAAGTTGTAAATAATTGTTTTTCTATTCAATTCCATCTTTTACTTTTTTGCTTGAAATATCTATCTCCTTAGGCTACATCTGTTCATCCATAGTTTCTTCTAGTTCTTTTATTATATATACATAACATTAATCATTCACCAATTTCAGGCACAGTTTTTTTTCCTGATGTGGACATTAAGTGAAACTCTAAATTTTAAATATTTTCACTCAAATCGGTTACCATTGTTAACTTTTAGTTCTGTCATTCTGTTTTAATAGCTTTTCCTAAGGTAATAATTTACCTGCAAATTCCTTCCTTAACAGTTCAGATTTCTCATTCCTTTTTTGTTGTTTTCTTTGAGAACTTTGAGAACATTGTCGGGAGGGGAGGAGAGGTAATGAATGCAGGAATCCTTTTTTTAATCATTCTTGCATCCCTTGGAGCTAATGGAATGTGTTCTGTCACAACTTAATATTAAGAGAGGAGGGATCCACAATTGTCTAGCGGACCAAACGTCTTTAATCTATTTAATTTTGGAAGGGATACACCACTACCGCATTTCACAGATGCAGAAATTCAGGTCAGGAAGGTTATGTAACTTGCACAACGCCGCTGGGTTAAAGTGAAATCTCGCCCTGACTGCAAATCCTTTTCTACATGAATGGTGGCTATACAGCCTCAGAGGAAAGCTTGTCCTGCCACCGCCGGTGTGTTCCCTCTCTTCCCTTTTGATCTAGAATAGAATAGGAAAGCAGTAAAGACCGCAGTAGGTAATCGGTCACCCTTTGGCAAGGCTGTGCAGGTTTTCCGCTGTAGTCCACACCAGCCCTGTGGCGAGACGGGTTCTCACGCTGTCACCCACACAGTTTCCAGGCTTTTCTGGACTAAGGGGAAGCAGATGTTCTGAACTTGGGCGGCGGGGCCACCCTGTGGTTGTCAGGCGGCTCAGTGCGTGGAAAACCCGGGTTCTCCGCGGGCTCCAGTTGGCCTCCTCCAGAGCCGACTCGCTTCTCGCTCCCGCCACATCTTCTCCGCCCCCTGCAGGCCGGGAGGTGGGACCGCCCGGGTCACAAGCTGGCGACCTAAGGAGCCCGGGCAGGCAGAGCGCTGACGCGGAATCGGCCGCTCAGGCTCCCGGCGCACTCCCCCATGGCGCGCGTGCTGATCGTGGGCGCCGGGCTGACCGGAAGCTTGTGCGCAGCGCTCCTGAGGAAGGTTGTTTCCGGTCCTCTGTACCTCGCCGTGTGGGACAAGGCTGGGGACTCAGGTGGGTTGCCTGTCGGCCCAAACCTGGGAAATGCGTGAGCTCTCAGCTCCAGCACCCCGATGGCCGCTCCTGCGCAGTGGGCGCCATGTCACGTGACCGGACACTTCCCCCCAGTTCCGGAGCCGGCCTGACCGGGAAGGGGCTGTCATTCCCGGGGCCGGGTTCTGCTGATGCTGCCCAGTTAGGCCTGCGGGGGTGGCCTGAGAGGCGCCCTCTAGGAGTTCGCAAAGCGGGAGCCTACCCGGTTTCTAATAAATGGACTTTTGCCTTTACCTGCCTGCCATTGCAGCTTTCCACAGATTCTGAGCTTCCCCAAGTGGCTGCCCATGGACCATGCCTTTCAAAAACCTAGTTTTCAAAATGCTGTCATTCTCTGGACTCTTGACAGTGTGAAAGAAACGACCCCGCTGATTCTGCCATTCTGGCTTTTCATCAGTCATTTTATTTATCCATCCCAAACCTCCATTCATTCCTTGTATTCAAGTTAACATATGCACTAGGAAGTGGGAGACGCTGCTACAGGTACTCAACTCCTTTCCTTACTCCTCCCTACTTAAAAAAAATCTCTAATGACCAAATTATCTGTTTACTTTCTTTTTTTTTAATAGAGAGAGAGAGAGAGAGAGAGAAAGAGAGAATTTTAATATTTATTGTTTAGTTTTCAGCGGACACAACATCTTTATTTGTATGTGGTGCTGAGGATCAAACCTGGGCCACACACATGCCAGGCTAGCTCGCTACCGCTTGAGCCACATCTCCAGCCCTGTTTACTTCCTTATGATAATATTAGGTGACAAAGATTTCAACTTAAAAATAATTTTGTTTTGCAGTCAATGGCTTTATTACTTAATTAAAAAAAATTGTTCTAATTAGTTATGCATGACAGCAGAATGCATTTCAATTCATTGTACACAAATGGAGCACAACTTTTCATTTGTTGGTTGTACACGTGTAGTCACACCTCTGGTGCACTCATACATGTACCTAGGGTAATGATGTCCCGTCTTATTTCACCAACTTTCCTACCCTCATTTCTCCTCCCTTCCGTTTCTTCCCCTTTGCCCTATCCAAAGTTCTTCCATTCTTCCCATGCAGTGCACCCCATTATGGATCAGCATCCATTTATCAGAGAAAACATGTGGCTTTTTTTGTGGTGGGAGGGTGGACTTACTTTGTTTAGCATGATATTCTCCTACTCCATCCATTTACCTGCAAATGCCATAATTTTATTCGCTTTTAATGTTGAGTAATATTCCATTGTGTAAATGCACACAGTGTTTTTTTTTTTATCTATTCACCTATTGAAGGACATTTAGAATGGTTCCACAATTTAGCTATTGTGAATGGAGCTTCTATAAACATTGATGTGCCTGCATCACTATAGTATTCTGATTTTAAGCCTTTTGGGTATAGAGGAAGGAGTGGGATAGCTGGGTCAAATGGTGGTTCCACTCCAAGTTTTCTAAGGAATCTCCATACTGCTTTCCAGAGTGGTTGCACCAATTTGCAGTGCCACCAGCAATGTATGAGTGTACATTTTCCCCCATATCCTCATCAACACTTATTTTTGCTTGTGTTCTTGATAATTGACATTCTGACTGGAGTGAGATGAAATTTTAGAGCAGTTTTGTTTTGATTTACATTTCTCTAATTACTAGAAATGTTGAACATTTTATCATATATTTGTTGATCAATTGTATATCTTCTTCTGAGAAGTGTCTAGTTCCTTGGCCCACTTTATTGATTGGGTTATTTGGGTGTTTTTTTTTTTTTTGTTGTTGTTGTTGTTCTTGTTTCTTTGTTTTGGGGTGTGTGTGTGTGTGTGTGTGTGTGTGTGTGTGTGTTAAGTTTTTTGAGCTCCTTATATATCCTGGAAATTAGTGCTCTGTCTGATGTGTGTATAATAAAGATATTCTCCTACTGTGTAGGCTCTCTCTTCACTTTATTGAATATTTCCTTTGCTGAGAAGTTTTTTAGTTTGAATTCATCCCATTTGTTGATTCTTGATTTTATTTCTTGTTGTGATTTAGGAGTCTGGTTAAGGAAGTCAGGCCCTAATCCAACATGATGAAGATTTGAGCCTACTTTTTCTTCTATTAGGTGCAGAGTCTCTGGTCTAATTCCTAGGTCATTTTCCCACTTTGAGTTGACTTTTGTGCATGGTGAGAGATAGCAGTTTAATTTAATTTTGCTGCAGATGGATTTCCAGTTTTTCCAGCACCATTTGTTGAAGAAGCTATCTTTTCTTCAATATATGTTTTTGGCGACTTTGTCTAGTATGAGATAACTGTATTTTTGTGGGTTTGTCTTTGTGTCCTCTGTTCTGTACTATTGGTCTACATGTCTATTTTGGTGCCAGTACCATGCCATTTTTATTACTATAGTTCTGTAGTATAGTTTAAGGTCTGGTACTATGATGTCTCTTGCTTCACTCTTCTTGCTAAGGATTTTTTTGGCTATTCTTGGTCTTTTTTTTTTCAAATGAATTTCATGATTGCTTTTTCTATTTCTATGAGGAATGTCATTGGAATTTTAAGTGGAATTGCATTAATTCCCTATAATGCTTTTGATACTATGGCGTTTTTGACAATATTAATTCTGCATATCAAGAACATGTGAGATCTTTCCACCTTCTAAGCTTCTGTCTTCTTCAATTTCTTTCTTTAGTGTTCTCTAGTTTTCATTGTATAAGTCTTTCACCTCTTTTGTTAGATTAATTCCCAAGTATTTTTTTAGGTTATTTTGAATGGGGTAGTTTTTCTAACTTCTATTTCAGAGGGTTCATCACTGATGAATAGAAATGCATTTGATTTATGGGTATTGATTTTATATCCTGCTACTTTGCTGAATTCATTTATTAATTCCAGAAGTTTTACTGGTACAATTTTTTGGATCCTGTAAGTATAGAATCATGTCATCAGCAAACAGTGATAGTTTGAGTTTTTCTTTTCCTATTCATATCCCTTTCATTTCTTTTTTCTATCTAATTTTTCTGGCTAGAGTTTCCAGGACTATGTTGAATAGAACTGGTGAAAGAGGGCATCCCTGTTTTGTTCCAGTTTTTAGAGGGAATTCTTCCAGTTTTTCTCTATTTAGAATGATATTGGCCTTGGGCTTAATATAGATAGCTTTTACAATGTTGAGGTATATTCCTCCTATCCTTAGTTTTTCACAGGGTTGTTGTGAAGATTAGGTGGGATTATATGTAAAACAAATAAAGGGCTAAATAATAATAACTATTGTTTTATCAAATGCTCTTTCTGCATCTGTTGAGATGATCATATGATTTTAAGTCTATTGATATGTTGAATTACATTTGTTGAGCCAACCTTGCATCTTTGGAATGAACCCCACTTGATCATTGTTCACTATCTTTTAAATATGTTTTTATGGGATTTGCCAAAATTTTATTGAGAATTTTTGCATTTATGTTCATAAGGGCTATTGGTCTGAAGTTTTCTTTCCTTGATGTGTCTTTGTCTGGCTTAGATATCAGGGTGACACTAGCCTCATAGAATGTGTTTGGAAGGGTTTCTTTCTTTTCTATTTCATGGAATAATTTGAGGAGTATTGATATTAATTCTTCTTTGTTCTAGTAGACTCAGCTGAGAATCCATCTGGTCCTGGGCTTTTCCTTGTTAGTAGGCTTTTGATGGCATCTATTTCATTGCTTGAAATTGATGTGTTTAAATTGTGTATGTCCTGATTCAGTCTGGGCAACTCATATGTCTCTAGAAGTTTGAAGGTGTCATTGATATTTTCTATTCTATTGGAGTATAAATTTTCAAAATAATTTCTAATTATCTTCTATATTTCAATAGAGCTTAAGAATAATTTTTAAAAACACATTTGTAAAGAAATTTATGTGGGGTAATCTGTGATGAATTGCATTACTTCAAAAAGCTCATTCTAATGTACTGACATTTTCCTGTGGATTAATTCCAGGGGGAAGAATGAATACTGCCAGCAGTCCTCATAATTCACAGTGCACAGCTGATTTGGGTGCTCAATATATCACCTGCACTCCTCATTATGCCAAAAAACACCAAACGTAAGTTAGTTGCAAGTGGTGAAATCAGTTTTAGCAGTTGTTTGCTATAAAAGGACACAAATAATTTATTTTTAATTTACTTTAAAAATGCCACTTGTAGAAATGATTATGATATGTCATTGTTAATGAAATTAGCTGTAAAATGTTCACTTGAGTAAAGTAGGAAACTGCAAAACACCGCCCTCCCAGGGTTATTGTGAAGATTAGTTGAGATTATATTTAGAACAAATAAAGGGCTAAATAATAAAAATAACTGTTTTTAGTGTTGAGGAAGAGGGAAAATATCTGTGATGGAAGTCAATCTTATCAAAATTTAACATTGATATGCTAAGTACTTTCCTATTTATTTTCATTGACTAATTCTGAGTTACGTGGAGAAATAGGCTTTGAATAATGTCAGCTAAAGCTCAATGAATTCCCAGAACATTTCTGTTCTTCCCCTGAATTGAAAGTTTTGTCTAATACAAAATATACAGTGAGTTGTTAATATGAAGATTCCTAGTTATAATTTGAAAATATAATCTCTAAAAATTCCTGACAGAGAATATAGTATTGCAGAGTTAATCATAGTAGGTACTTACATTATATATATATATTGATTTATTTCAGTTTTTATGATGAATTATTAGCCCATGGCATTTTGAAGCCTCTGACCTCTGCTATTGAAGGAATGGTGATAAAAGAAGGAGACTGTAACTTTGTGGCACCTCAAGGAATTTCTTCAATTATTAAGCATTACTTGAAAGAATCAGGTAGGAATTTGATCTTCTCTGCTTTCTTTTAGAATTAGCATTTTAAAATAAAAGCTACATGTACAATTAAATGTTGATACCATTCAGAAAATTATAAAAAGTATATACTCTTATATTTACCACTCAGCTAGTATTTCTTGTCCCAAAGTAATCACTGGTGACAGTTTTCAGTGTATATTTTCAGACAAATGTTTGTGCTTTCAATCTATTGAGCTGTATGACTATGGTTATTTAGAGTTAGTATATGTTTATATTTGTTTATTTAATATATATATGTATACACACACACACACACAAAAGGAGTTATTTTACATAAACTATTCTGTACCTTGTTTGATTCATACTATGGTCTCTTTTCATTTTAGCAAATTCAATGTGCTGTGTTTTCTTTAATGAATATCCATATTATATGGTACATATCTCCCATAATTTATTTAACAATTAACTTCTGTTAAATAATTAGGCTGTTTTCAGGTGGGAGATTGTTTTGGTTTTTGGTTTTACAAACATTGGTGTATGTGTAACCTTGATATAGCTTTGAAAGCATATTTACAATAATATATGATGAAGGAGACCAAAATACTAATTATTGTAGAAATAGTTTAGGAAGCAAAACAAATTTTCAGCCTGTACTTTTCCTTCATGATCTTAAATTGGGTAATTAGCTAAATTATTATTTGTCAAAAAAACCTTATTTTGTTTAGAGAAACAAGTTTCAAATTTTAACAAAACAGCTATGTCAAGCACTGTTTTCTTTTTAAATTTAAGTTGTACTACATATTCTTGTTAAGGAATATCTCCTCAACAGTGAATGAGAATGTCTGTTTTCCCCACATCTGGGTATAATGGAAATTTAAATTTTGCCAACATTATAGGCTTAAAAATGGTATCTCTTTGTAGTTTTGACTTGTTATTTCCCTAGTTATGTGAGTATATTCACCTTTTGTTTTGTCAACCATATCTTTTTCTGTAAATGTTCTATGCCTAATCTTTGCCCATTTTCTATTAGAATTTTCATTTGTTCCTTACATACTTTATTAGTGGTTTTGAAAATGGGTTTTTAAAAAAGAAAATAGAACTTTCCTTGGAAAATAAATGATTTGTTTTTCTAAACAAAATAAGCTTTCTTGACATATCATAATTCAGTTAATTATCCAATTCAGGGTGACTAAGGAAAGGTATAAGCTGAAAATTTGTTTTTCTTCATCATTACTTATTGAAAACCCTAAAAATCCCTGAACAATATAACAAGTATTTATACAATATTTACAATATATTTGGCATTGTAAGTATCTAGACATGACTTAAAGTATTCAGAAGTATGTGAATAAGTAGTGTGCATGAGAGGTCAGTGACATTGGATATGCAACAGAAGAAAATAATAAATACCATTTTGTGTTAGTCCATTTTCTATCCAAGACTCAGACTGTGGTGGTTTATTATTTAAAGTTGTCCAGAAAAATGGAACTAATAGGATATACTGTTGGATCTCCATATCTGTAAAATAGATTCTGTATTCATGAATTCAATCAACCTCAGATCAAAAATACTGAAAAAAATTGCAGAAAGTTCCAAAGGCAAAGCTAGAATTTGCTACACACTAAATACTATGTCGAATCCATGAGAATTAAGTGATGTGTAGTCAGTCATATCGTGTAATAGTCTCCTGTCATTTCATAGATCCTTATTCTCTCTCTAGCAGTAATTGAGCATTGTTCATGTTGTGTTTTACCCATGTACTATGTAGTTAGACCCAGGAGGGTTGCATCTGTAGGGAACATGCACAGACTTTTTTCCTTGACATTATTCCCTAAACAATATAACAAGTATTTACATAACATTTACAATGTATTTGGTATTGTAAGAATCTATAGATGATTTAAAGTATTCAGAAATATGTGAATAGGTAATATACAAGTACTATGCCTTTTTATATAAGACACTTGAGCATCTGTGGACTGTGTTGACTTGGTCATGGAACCAATCCTAAGCAGATATAGAGGGATGACTCTGTGTGTGTATACTCTGTGTGTGTGTGTGTGTGTACATATATATACTGAAAGAGAGAGAGAGATTTATTATATGAAATTGGCTCACATGATTATGGAGGCTGGAAAGTCCCAAGATTAGATGGGTAAGTCAGCAAGCAAGACAATAGAAGAACTAATGATATAGTTCCAGTCTGAAGACTGGCAGGCTTAAGACTCAAGCCAGTGCTTCAGTTCTAGGCTGAAGGCAGGGAAAAAACAAAAAGTCTATGACCTAGTTCCAAGGCTATCAGGCAAGAAGAATTCTCTTTTACCTGGGGAGGGGTGAAGATTTTTGTCCTATTTAGCCCTTCAACTGATGAAATGAGGCTCACCCACATTAGGGAGGACAATGTGCTTTACTCCGAATTTAAACCTGATACTTGAAAACACTCACAGAAAACAAAAACAAACAAAGAAAGAACAAAAACCACTGGCAGAAACACCCACCAAATATCTGGGCACTCCATAACCCAGTCAAGTTGACACATCAAATTAACCATTGCAATTAATGACATCATTTTACATATTGTAGAATGTCACCATCAGCTTTATGTTGTGGCACCATATAACTTTTAAAAATTTCATTTCCATCATGATTTTTCCTTGATCCATTTTATATATATATATATACACATATATATATGTATATATATATATATATATTCATTGAAATCCTGAAGTACTTAGTAACTGCATTATATATACATGCACATATACATATGTACATCCTTTCATTCAGTAAGCATTTATTGAGTGCTTAAAATGCCAGACATGTTTAGGTACCAGTAGTAGAAGAGCTAAAGTTGTATGCTTACCAGACCTTAAACTGTACTACAGAATAGAAGACACAGAGACAAACTTACATAAATACAGTTATCTCATACTAGACAAAGCCGCCAAAAACATATATTGAAGAAAAGATAGCTTCTTCAACAAATGGTGCTGGAAAATCTGGAAATCCATCTGCAGCAAAATTAAATTAAACTGCTATCTCTCACCATGCACAAAACTCAACTCAAAGTGGAAAAAAGACCTAGGAATTAGACCAGAGACTCTGCACCTAATAGAAGAAAAAGTAGGCTCAAATCTTCATCATGTTGGATTAGGTTCTGACTTCCTTAACCAGACTCCTAAATCACAAGAAATAAAATCATCAAGAATCAATAAATGGGATAAATTCAAACTAAAAAACTTCTCAGCAAAGGAAATATTCAATAATGTGAAGAGAGAGCCTACTGAGTGGAAGAACATCTTTACTACAAATACATCAGACAGAGCACTAATTTCCAGGATATATAAGGAGCTCAAAAAACTTAACACCCCCCCACACACACACACAAACACACAATAAAACAAAACCAAACAAAAAACCAACAAAACCAAAATAAGAAAACAAATAACCCAATCAATAAAGTGGGCCAAGGAACTGGACATTTCTCAGAAGAAGATATACAGTCAATCAACAAATATATGATAAAATGTTCAACATTTCTAGTAATTAGAGAAATGTAAATCAAAACAAAACTACTCTAAGATTTCATCTCACTCCAGTCAGAATGTCAGTTATCAAGAAAACAAGCAACAATAAGTGTTGGTGAGGATGTGGGGGGAAATGTACACTCATACATTGCTGGTGGCACTGCAAATTGGTGCAACCACTCTGGAAAGCAGTATGGAGATTCCTTAGAAAACTTGGAGTGGAACCACCATTTGACCCAGCTATCCCACTCCTTCATCTATACCCAAAAGGCTTAAAATCAGCATACTATAGTGATTGCAGGCACATCAATGTTTATAGTAGCTCCATTCACAATAGCTAAACTGTGGAGCCACCCAAGATGCCCTTCAATAGATGAACATGTAAAGAAACTCTTGCAGCCACCAGTGGGGCCAATCTAGCAGGATCCAGCAAGGGGCTAAGAGGGATAAGAAAAATAAGACTCATGCACTTAGATTTTGTAGATAACAGCTGGGGTCAGGTGGAGCACTGCTCTCTGATGAAGAAACAAGTCTGAAGAATTCTGCCAGCAATCTTTATATGTATATGTATATATATACATATACATATATATAATTAATCAGATTAAAGACTATGCAAGCATTATTCTTTGTATTCATGAAAGTTACAGAATTAGCAACATTATGCAGTTTATTCTGTAGTTATATTCTACAGTTACAATGTGCAATGTTAAGAGATTTGTGCAACCTTCAAGAAAGTCAGTTGTTTGAAGTTCCTGTTATGCGGACAGGTTCAGGAGCTGGTGTAACATTGGGGTTGTTAGCAAAAGAATTCCTTTATTCCCAGTAGCTGTGTGCCTGAGATCAAGATCAAGGCTGATAAGACTTTAGCACAGAGCCTCCTCATGTAGGACACTGCCATAGCAACTAGGCATCCTGCACCTTTGCACAGGAAACTTTCCCAGCCACCAAGCATGAAACAGCCATGAAGTCATTAGAGTCCCCAATCTCAGATACTGCTCTGATAAGTGGATGCTGATCCATAATTGGTGGGGGTGGGGGGAGGGTTGTGTGTGAAGAATGGAGGAAATTTGGACAAAGAAGAGGGAAAGGGAGAGGGCATGGGCGGCAGGAAAGATGGTGGAATGAGATGGACATCATTATCCTAGTTACATGTATGATTGCACATGTGGTGCACAATTCTTTGTAGCTAACACAGAATGTAACAGTATCTTGTACATGATAGGCACAGTGATACATCCACATGGTAGGCATCATATACAACCAAAGAAATGTGCTCCATTTGTGTACAATGAATTGGAATGAATTCTGCTGCCTTGTATAACTAATTAGAACAAATTCAAAAAATAAAAAAAAATAAAGTCCTATCCTTATAGAGCTGATTTCCTGGTAGAAGAACACTTCTTAAATACTTTGTACCTAGTTCCCTATTTCATTAGATTTTTAGGGAGAATATATGTTTATCTTCCAGTTTTGCTTTGGAAACTTTTGGGAGAAGAGATTTTTTTGTGTGCTAGGATTAAATCCAGGGGCCCTCTACCACTAAGCCACATTCCAAGCCATTTTATTTTTTATTTTGAGACAGGGTCTTGCTAAGTTGCCCAGGCTGGCCTCCAACTTGTGATCCTCCTGTCTCAGCCTCCCAAGTAGCTAGCGTTACAGGTGTGCAGAATTCTTTGTAGCTCACACAGAATGTAGCAGTACATGGTAAGCACAGTGATACAGATTATTAATATGGATAATTTATGTAATTAGCATACATATTAGGTTAATGTATATTAGATGACTGTCAGTTCTCATTTAACCAATTTTTATAAAAATCTATTTATATTTTCAGTTTGTATAATACAACCCCTTGGGGTTATCATTATATAAAATGTTACTATTTATTTCAAAAAGTAATTCTTTAATAAAGAAGTATATACTCCTGATAGAAAATGTGGTCACTTTATTTATTTATCTTTGTACCGGGATTGAACCCAGGGGTGTTTAACCAACAAGCCACATCCCCAGTCCTTTTTATTTTTTATTTTGAGACAGGGCCTCATTAAGTTGCTGTGGCTGATCTCAAACTTGCAATTCTCCTGCGTTAGTCTCCCAAGTTGCTGGGATGACAGGTATATACTGCTCTGGGATAGAACATTTGGTCATTTTAACTGAGGAGTAGTTAATGAGGGAGAAGGTAGTAAGAGATGAAGCATAGGAGTAAGACAAGGCTAGGTGTAAAAGACTTTGTAAGCAATGTTAAAGATTGTACACTTTAAGTGCAGTAGAAAGCCATTCACCAGTTTTATGCCTCTTTCCTAGAAACTTCAAGCCTAATAGCTTGGAAGGAAAACTTCCTTGTTAATAAGAGCAGCTATACCTTTTCCCCTACCTCTTGGTAAATCCTACTTTTAGAGTGGTTTTGACAGATGTTTACCCTGTGGTTCTCACACTTCAACATGCATTGTAGATAACCAGGCTGGGTAGATTGTTAAACATAGAATGCTGGACCTAATCCCTTGATTTCTGATTTGGAATTGTTGGGCCAGGGTCTGAGAATGTGCATTTCTAGTTCCTAGGTATGGCTAGTGCTGCTGGTCTTAGGGAACCACTAGCATAAACCTTGCAGAACATCTTGTGGCTACTAGGATTCATTTTCAAGACACTCAGCTGGGGCATGGAGAATTTTCTAGGCCAGAGAACTTTAATAAATAAATAAAGCATCACTCTGGGTTGAGTAATGGAGATGGGGAATGAAAGTTGAAAGCACTGATTATTTGCACCTTCCCCAAGTAGCTGCCTTGAAAAAATTCTCAGGCAAGTTGAAGAACAGTTCACAAGCCTTGCTTTAATCTTTGCACAGAATGATGCTCACTGCCTAAAATAGACATTGACCCCTTGACCTAGTTAACACCATGTTCCCAATGTGACTTGAACAAATTTAAGTGCTTACTATAGGTATCATTATTCAAGCAACATGGAAAAGGTATTGGAGATCTGACATGAAGGAGCCTAGAATATTACTGGATAGATGATACTCAGGATGATTAAGACACAGCTAAAGCATGCAGATATCTTGAATCAATGTCAAGAATGAGTGGTAAAGGCAGTGATGGTTGAAGGACATCAGAGATAGGAAGGATCCCACTGAATAATTTACAGAGTGGCTACATGATACTTTTTTTAAAAAATATTTCTCATTCCATCTTCATTTCTTTGTTATCTATACATGAGGCTAAATAAAATTGGATTTGTTTTTAAATCAAAGTTTTTCTAAATTCCAGAATTTGAGATATTAGCATAGTAAGCAGACTTAATGACTTAACAATACTTTCTTTCAGTTTATAGTTCTTATTACATTCTTTTAAGCAAATATTGAGTAAATACCTAGTCTGTGTCAAGTACTATGCTATGCATAGAAACAAGCATTTGTGGTTCATGAAACTTGGAATTCAAAAGATAAGACTATATAAAACAATAATTAGGGAAATAGTTATTAAAATGCTTTTGTGATAAATGCTAAGAATGGAAATGTGATGAGAGCGTACTCAATGT